AGAAGAGATGCAGCTGACGTGGTAAAGGAGGATGTGCAGCTGATTGTGGACTTACCGATGACCAGTTACTAGCTGTGTCAAGACCGGCCTCTGTAAGAGGAGGCTCATGAGGGATGCTCCTGGGCCGTTTGGAGGCAGCTATGCTCACGAGTGGAGCGCCGGGTGGCTAAAACGCGGCGAGCTGGCACAGCTGGGAGCACAAGTAGTGCATCTACCGGTCATCTCAACAACCCCCCCCCACCCTGCATCCGTCCTCCCTGGCTCCTCCCCCCCCCTCCTCTCACCCTATGTAATAATCTCTATTACAAATAGCTCTCTTTAGAGTAATTTTGCTGTGCTAGTTACACCTGATGACGGAAGCTTGTGATGCCTCCGAAACGTTGTGATTTGATTAACTTAATGTTTTATTTTTACCTACATGACTTTACCGAAAGAACCAAAGAGTATGGATCATTGCAGTCACGAAAACGTCAAATCTGGAATCAGAATGAGAAGCTTTGTTTATCCTGGAGGAATCCAATGAGCTGTGAAGCTCTTTTTCACAGACGTCCAGCAGGGACTGTCCCGTGACCTCCCGCAAAAAACGGAGCCTTCGACACTTCACACGACAGCCTTAAAGTGCACCTAGCCTGGCGCACGCGCGCCGTGGTGACGTCACCACCACCACTTTGCGGCGTACGGAGCTGCAGTCACTGCTGCTGTTTGGTGTGTGTGTGTGCTGGGCTGGAGGGAAGGACCCGGGGTGCCCTCCCAGGCTTTTCCCCTGGAGAGATTTTCCTTCGAGAAGCAAGAAAGTTTCCTTGCCAGGAGAACACCAAGTTCCAGGACCCTGATCGCACGCCGTGGCGACTAGGAGATGTCAACTACCTCGCCTGGTGTACAGGAGGACGTGGGTTCAATCCTGAACCTGATGCCTGTTGTATATTTGGAGTTTGCATCTCTCTCTCTCCCCCTGTGGCCGCGTGGATTTTTTTCCGGGTCATCTGGGTTTTCCCTCCACATTTAGAATCAACGTGTGTTTTGAATATTTGGCTGCCATACATTTCCACGTGACAAGCCAATTCGTTGAGCTACCGCTTGTGACAGCCAGGTCGCTTCTGAAAAACAGCTAAATATAGCTCAGTGGGGCCTTACATGAAATTTTTGTAAAAAAAAAAATTTTAGTTTTATTTTAACTACTAATTGGACGCAGAGAAGTCGGCCTCGAAGAAAACTTCCCGTTTTGGAAAAATGTTTTTCTTCTTCTTCCATAAAGGTGAGACACTTTTTTTTTTACACGGTGCCACGTAATAATGAACAGTCATGTTTTTCTTAACTGAGTAGTTTAGAGAGGGGGGGGGTATAGTTCCAAGTTGCAAAATAATTGGTACATGAACAGTCAACACGCGGGGGGGGCAGTGGGGAAATGTAAATACAGAAATATAACAACAAAAAGTCCAACCCGCGGAAATAATAACAGGCCTCGGAGCGTGCGGTCACCTTGGAGGGAAAAATACGAACGCGTTCTTAGATTTCGGGACGCCAAACTGCTCATCACGACAATTGGTGAGCCACCGACGGGTGAAACCGGGCGCTCGTCCGCGGTGAGCTTTGGGAATCCTCTACGACCGTTTACAAATGTAACAAAGGTAAAAATGCGCAGCCCTGCAATTTCTTGTGCTCACGCCACTGCTGGCAGAAGGGGTCCCCCCTTCTCCGCTAGGGAGAAGCTCTAGAGAGCCCCTTTTAGAGGGTGCTCGGCCTACTCTTTCATGCTAGCTGCATCGTCATGGAAGAGGTGAGAGTGCTCACATATGCAGGCTTTACACCTTGCTTTGTACGGCGGCAGTGGATGCTTTAAAAACAACAAAAAAAGGGCGCACAAAGCGAAGCCGCACGAGGAAACAGCTGCCTGCTGAGTAGCGCACACAGCACACACGCAGTCACGCAGTACACACCCACAACACACATGGTACATACAAAATACACTGTACACACACACTGCACACATAGTACACACAGTACACAAGCAGTGTACACACAGTGTACATAGTCTTGTCCCACATCCCACCGGATAGCCACATGTACAGTGAATTCACACCACATAATACGGTACATTTGTGGGTAGAAATAGGTTAGCTGCATTTACACGAAAACTCATAAAATCGAATGCGCAAAAAGCGAGGAAAATCTGATATGAGCAAATCCATTTGGGTTTTTCACTTATTCTGGCCAAGACCCGGCCTTGATGGCTTAAATTTACCAACAACAGATGACCGACGCACAGCGAACCACCCTTAAGGCAGCATGACGGTGCACCAGCTAAGTGTTGAGTTTAAGAGATTTACAAATGTCACTTTGGTAGTAGTTCTGCGATGTCAACTCCCGGGGGGGGGGGGGGGGCCGTTCCGTGACACGACCGCATGAGGATTTGCCCGGGAGCCTGGGAGGACACTTCTGCGAACTGCACCACCGGTGCTTACCGCAAAAAATTGAGCGACAAAGTTGGCGATAGAATTTCAAAGATGCCGTGACTACTAACTCATGAGAAAGCATCGATTTGCGTGAGAGTTATTTCCACTCGCAAATATTCAATCTAGCAGGGTTCCGTCACAGACAGACAGAGCCGGCCACCCTGGTGCTTCCAGCCCGGTGCCTGGCGCAGCCAGCGGGGTAGATCTATGAACTGAACTATTTTTTTTATTTTAACAGGTAAGGCCCACTGAACTGTATAGGTCTTTTTTCAGAAGAGACCTGGCTATCGCAAATAATGTCTCAACGAAGCGGCTTGTCACATGGAAATCGATTGCAGCCAAATGCTCCTAAAGTGGAGGGAAAAAATCCGGAAGAGCCGGAGAAAAATTCCACGTGACCACGGGGAGACAGAGGGAACAGACAAAAACTTAAAATATACAGCAGGCGTCAGGATCGGGATCGAACCCACGAGCACCTGCATATCAGGCAAGGTGGTTAACATCTCGGTACCGTGGCACCCCAATGTCGGCAGTGATCGGACGAGCGCTCGTTGAGCGGCTCCAACTCCGTGGGCGCTCTGCCTGGATCGATCAATTTAAAGGCGAAGGCTTCGCGCGGAGACAACGACAACAACGACGACGAGGAGGAGGAGCTGCTCCGCCGTGTGACTTTGTGTTATCTCTCGACCATCCCCCCCCCCCCCCCACACGCATCAATAATAATCCCAGAGTGTTCGCGATAATACGGTGGCTGGCTTTCCCCCCCCCCCGCCCCCCCAAAGTCTGTTTTGTATTTCGCAGCCGATTCATGTGAACGCGACGGGGGGCGACCCAAGGAAGGGGAGTTCCAACGTGGTGAAAATTTCCGCTGGGGCTCGATGGGGAACACAACAACCAAAAATTACAAGAAGACTGCCTGGGGTCATTTTGGTCACAGAGGCGAAAAAGGTCGGAATTACACGGAAATAGGGACACTTGGATTTGGAGAACCCGCACAGGTTGGAGACGTCTTACTTATTCGTAAGACCTTATCGACGGACGAGGTCGATTTCATCGCGTGATGACGAAGCAACTTTTTTTTTTCAGAGCTATAATTTGGCAAACATTTAAGTGGAAAACTCAATTTAGCTAGGTACGTTTTTTGCTGCGCGCAAGTCACTGGCGGCTGGGCTGAGGTCCATCCGGCTTGCTACAGCTGAGAATTCGACTTCATCAGGGGCGGCTGAAACCCAGGTTCCACATTCAGCGTCACAGAGGGGCATCGGCTCTCCTTGCTCTGACCTCTGGAGCCACGCGGCCACCTCGAATTGTTTTAGATGGTCCAACGCCAAAGTACAATCTTAGGAATCTTAGGAAAAACAAGTGGCCGGAAGTGTGGTGGGGCTTCTATATAAAGCGACAAAAGCGCCGAGAGAAGGGGGGGGGGGTTGGAAGGAGCAGGGAACTGGGTTAAGCCTCTCGGCGGCGTTACGGTCGCCGATAGCCGGCAATCCAATTTCCTCCGTCCTTCGCTGCGTGTCATTGTTCCTGAAGGCTCCATTCATCCCAAAATATCCACCGCACCAGCGCCGGGCACACACGCACGCACACAGTCGCACGTACACGCATGCACACATTGACGCACGCAGCCGCACATTCGCGCGCACGCAAGAACACACGCACGCTCGCACGCACATGCACACACATTCACATGTGCAAAGACAAAGATTCCCCATGTAGCCTGAAGAGACTGTTGGGGCAAGTGCTGTTAGTGAGCACTTATACACGCATATACACATATTTACACGCACATTCACGCGCGCACACATGCAGTGTATTTGTTAAAGAACACACGAAAATTCGTCCTTCAACAAAAATCCAATTTCCCAACGCCTGTGTGAGAACAAAAAAAAACACATTTCCGGGTGCCTACGATGAAAAAATAAAAAAAAAAACACGACCACTGGTAATTATACGCCAGGCGTAACGTTTTGATTTCCGAAATATTTGACGATGACATTAAAGTGCACTCGGGCTTTCATTTGCGGTAATTGGGGAAATAATTAGAATTCTGCGCCAACAAGACAATCGCCACCCCCCTTCGTTGCGAGCGCCGCGCGATGGAGAACGGCGCGGTCCCGCCCACCGCGCCCAGCGCCGAAAACCAGGCGCACGCGTCCCGACACAGGCCTGGGTCGTCCACGAGGTCAACTCGGGCCCAGTTACTGAAATCGCGTCAAGATCGGCCTGCGGTCGCCTGACGGCGGGGACACAAGAGCTGAGACGAGGGAAACGCCGCCGCCGCCGCTTTCCGTACAATTCCGCGTACCGTACCGCGCGCCGTTCCGCGCGCCGTACCGTCTCCGCGCGCCGTATCATTCCGCGGAACGTGCTCCCGAACAAGATGGGGCCCCCTCCGTCGAGGCGAAAAATGCATACTTGGTTGTGGCGAGGTGACAAACGTCGGCAATGGGGAGGCCCAGACGGCCGAAGCGTGCGCGGTGTGGTGCCACGCCACCCTCACAAGCGGATCGTTCGCCTTAATAGGTGCTTGCCGAGAACACTTACTGCGTCAAGCGTGGAATTGCTCATCGTTTTCCCGGCGCCGATTGTAAATTCGTCAATTTACGAAAGCGGCAGCAGGAGCGAACCGCAACCGACCCGTCAGGCGTTGTTAACCGACCGCGCGCGCCTGTGAAGTCGCCTCTCCCTGCAACCGCTCTCGATTAACCAAGCGCACTCATCATCATCATCATCTTCTCCTCCTCCTCCTTTCGTACGGCCGATGTGGATGCAGCGGAGACAACGCGCGTCAGGAGCAGCGAGGGAGTGCATCGCCGTGACGTCTCCTTCGTGATGCAGCGCGAATGTGAATTCCTGTAAATGTGCGTGACTCCCCCATCACCCAACCCCCCCCCCCCCTTCCGAGAGCAGGGAGGCACGGACTCAAAACCGGAGGGCGCGATAATTCAACGTCCCTCACCCCCAGGGATTCAATTGCCAAATGGAACCTGTTCTTCCTCACCCTGCCAAGGCTGGCGAGGCAACGATGATGCCGGGACTACAGTTTACGACTGCTTACCCTTTGTTTCCCCGAAATTATATTTTGCAGCCGGGGGGGGCGGCAAGCGGTGGTTGGGAGCGGTGGCGCCGAGCGGCGATTGCTGCTCCGCGCTCCGCACCCAGCGACCCCCAATCACCCCCCCCCCACCCCCACGAGTTTGATGCCCAGCCACGGCCGCCAGCATTTGAGACGAGCGACATCCGAGCCGGTCCTTGACCCCCCTCCACCCCCCCCCACCCCCGCGTTTGACGCCCAGCCCCCAGCCACGGCCGCCAGCGCTAGCAGCGAGCGACATCCGAGCCGGTCCTTGACCCCCACCCCTCGCCCACCCCACAGTCAACCGGCACACGACGTGCGGGGGTTGGGGGGGGGGGCGGGTACGCCGTCATCCAGCGGTGGATTGGCGCAGGACCGCAATGACTTATTCTTATCGTCGTTGTCAATACCAATCAGTCAATTGCGGAGGTGGGTGTCTCTGCTGTGAGCGGGCGAGCGGGCGGCATCCTTAGTATTCCTCGCCACTCGCGCCGCGCTCGGCGAGCGGCTCAGCGGGCGTCAGAAGGCGACGGCTCTGACGTCAGCGGCGCTGAACCCCTCTCCGCGGAGAATGCAATTATGTCGCCAAGAATGACCTTAGGCGCAGCACCTGCCACTATCTTGGACGCGGGCGGCGCGCTCTTTTGCTTGAAGGCCGCATGATGTCGGCCAATTACGTCAATGGCACCGTCTGGGGATGGGGTTGCTCTACCGTTGTTGCCAAGTCGGCGGTGGAGAGCGCGGGACTTTGTTGAACGATGATTCTAAAAATAAAAACACTTAAAAATACGCGCAATTTTCACCGCAAATCGGGCAAACATCTCGAACAGCCGAGCTGTACAGGTTAACCCGCGAATGACTACGGTTGCGATGGCACGGGTAAAAACACAGCCCCTGCTGAGAAACACTGGCCAGGACCTTCCTGGTAAACTCTCGCAACAACAACAACGACAATAAAAAAATAAAAAGACTTCGCCACTATTTTTTCTCTCCGCATTTAGGTTTCCGCGCGTCCCGCGTGTACACGCCACGCTGTCCCCGAGCGCCGAGGGATCGCAATATCGGATCGCGATGCTTAACCGGGACGCTCTTACGGTTTTCACGGGCATAGCACGTACACCACGGAGCGATAGCCGGTATCACCGAAAACCCAAGCTCCTCTGTTTTCCCACTATGGAGGAGTCGTCGCTTGCCATGTAGGCCGCCCCAGAGCCACCGCGGGGTCGTGGAACCTCAGGGCAAAAGAACGACGTTGGGGCAGTTGAAAATCCTCTCATGGGATTTGACGGTTGGGGGGGGGGGGGCGATCCTATTAGCCATGATTATCTGCGCAAATGTTCCTGTTTGTGAGAGTTTGCGAGGCACGGACACCGCTCTGGACGTCTGTGGAAATACTGGATATCTGTGAAAAAGAGCTTTAGAGCTCATTGGATTCCTCCCCGTAAAAATAAACATTCCGATTCTGATTCTGCTCGCCAATCGAGGGGCTGGGCGGGTGAGGGGGGGGGTGGTGGCGGACGCACGGGGCAGCAGCTGGCGCTGTGGTAAGGTTGAGGCGAAGCCCACGCACCAGGTCGTGGGTGTGGTTTGGCACCAGCGGTGAGCGCTGGCGGACCCCCCCCGGTGGCCACAGGAAGAGAGAGGCTTTGCAGCTACGAGATAAGGTTGAGAGCCGGTGAGAGCCACGGTCTGGTTTGTGCCGAAGGGGGGCTGCACACGCGCACGGAGTTTTTGTGGCGGGCACCTGTGGAATCGTGCGTTTTCATTATTTTTTTTATGGGGCCGCATCGCACCGCAACCGATCTGAAAGTGGGCTCACCCCCCCCCCCCCCCCCTGACAAGGAGATCCCAACCGAGTAAGACCCCTGCCACCTGTGCCACTCGACAACTGAAATGCAATCGGCGTCACGATGGGCTGATCACGTGTTGACGTTTGTTTGTAAACGCGCACGTTTGTCCCTACAACTCCTCCCTGGACCACTCCACCGATTTACAATGCTCTTGTGTTTTACGCTGATGCACCACGGAACTTCCTTGCAAACTCGCTGGGTAACTGGCTAATTGGGGCGTTGTGCGTAACAAATAAGCATCGATCGAATGAATTGACGTCATTTGAAAGCCCACACCGTGTGCAGCTTACGCAAACGAGATAAAAAATAATGGAAAAAAAAATTGTAAGCTGGTATCCAACAATTCTCATCGTCCTGTTTATCTGCTCTGTAATCTACAATAGCCCGGTAAATGATGAGAGCCACCGAGAGCCACATTTAAAAATCACGCACCAGATAAACACATAGATTAACAAAGATTCAGTTGTTAATAAAACAATTAAATCGCCTTTTTTTTTTTGGGAAGGCCAGTCTGAATTAGTTGCGTGTCTTGGCACAGACCACGGGATTGAGAAGACGCCCTCAATGTGGCTGCCGACGGCACTCATTGGGGCAGAGGAAGAGACTCGCCTGCAGTGGGAGAACAAGAGGGGACCTCGCTTCTGTGCAGAGTAGAACCCGTCGAAAACGAGACGCTCGCAACGACCAGCGCTCGGACCAGACGCAGACGACCCCTTTACCATCGCCACCGCTGATCACCAACCACCCCGGCCGGTAGTCGGCGCAGGCTGAGCGAACACCTACAGCTTGCTGCGAGTTATTCATTCGTTGCGTCTCAAACGAGACTCGCGAGACACGCACGTACACACCAGACGCGCGCGCGGACGCACGCAATCGGCATGCACAGTCGGTACGCACTTGGCAGAGTGCGGCAAAATCCGCCCCATTACTATGCAGACGCGCGCGCGCAACAACTTGTACGGTTAACCCCCTGCGCATCCACCCCCCCCCCCCCACCATCACAATGCCCCTGTGGGTGGGGCGGGGCGGCGGCAGCTACGGCGGAGACACCTGCAGGTCTGACAGCGCGCTCGGAGGGTCGACGACGCGCGCAGAGATAGACCCCAGTCGTGCAAATTAGCGGCAGGGCAAACGCCAGGCGGTGCCAGGCAGTGGCCTGGCATTGCCCTGCTATTTCAGGGATCGCGAGAGCTTCAGATGATTGCCGATAGGAGGGGAAGTGTTGCTCCGTAAACTCCCCCGCGGTGGCACTGCTCAAAATAGCCGGAGCCCGGAGGGTAATAAAATCGAACGGCAATTTCTCTTAAGAGCCAATCTCACGTACAAGAATATTTAATCGTTCGACCAACGTGCTTTCCAGATGACTATCAATTCACGATTTGCTTGCTAGATGCTCTGCAACATGAATATTACCCAAGATTAGGTGCTGCCCGAGACTTGCACTTGGTGCTTGTTGGGGCAATTGGTTTGGAATGTGAAGGTGCCAGCACGCTGCCAGATAAACGACACGCGATATCGGGGCGATGCTTCCACACATTGCCACGTCCTGCATCTCGGCGATGATGCTTATCGGCGTGCGGCACCGCCATTGCCGTGCGGCGCCGTCATCGCGGTGCATTGCCCTCCGCAGGCAGGGGGGCAGCCCCCCATGGCGCAGCACGGTGGTGGCGTAGCAGCAACGCTTGAGATTCACAGTAAGATAGCCACGCTACGGTGACTAAGAAATGTTAACTACCTCGCCCGGTATGCAGGAGGTCGTGGGTTCGATGCCGACCCGGACGCCCGCTGCTGTATATTTGGAGTTTGCGTGTCTCTCTGCCTCTCTCTCTCTCTCCTTGGCCGCGTGGATTTTTCAACGGGTCCTCCGTTTTTTTCCCCTCCGCATTTTATAAACATGCGTTGAGAATATTTGGCTGCTATAAATGACAAGCCACTTCGTTGAGCGATCATTTGTGATAACCAGGTCGCTTATAAAAGAGAGCTATATAATAGCTCGGGGGGGGGGGGGGGGGGGGGCCTTTACTTGGTAAAATAAAAAAAGATGGTTTAGTTTTCAATAGCCGAGTTCAGACTGCCGAGTCAGGTGCCCCCCTTTCATGCACGGCGTTTGTGCGTTTCTCCTCCCGTTCTGTATGGGATCCCTCCGGGTTCCTCCCATGAGCTAAACCCGCCAACAGAGCAACGCTCTCTCGCGCGCTCCATCACAATGGGCATGGCTGGAGTGGCACGTACGATGGCTTCGCCGATCGATGCTTGGTACGCAGCGCGAAAGGGTGCACTGCGCTATCCGCGATAAAAAAAAAAACATTTCTCATTGCCGCGCGGGAAAATATGGACGACGGAACGCATTCTGCTATGAGAGCGATGCTTCATCTCGCTTCTCGAGACGCGTGAAGATCTTTTAATGAGAAGTAAAAGAAGAAAAAACTCAATTCCGAACGTTACCGGAATATCAAAGATCACCAGGCCACAAAGTCATAGCAACACACGCTCTGCTGTGTCCGGCTATTCAAAGGGTCGCGTGTATTTTGTCGGTAACAAATGTCACCACCACCGTTAAGTTCCGACCTATCCACTGCTAGATGAAGGCCTTCCCCCAAGAGGTTAGAAATCTCTCGTGATCTTGTGATGCAACAATACGATCGGCTCCTGCGCACGGGCCAATGTACGCACGTACGTTGATCTTCTGTCGCACCGTACGTAGACAACCGTGCTAAACGGGAGGCGCGGGGGAAGGACAACAAACTAAACACAGATATCAATCGTCACTCCATCTCCACGGTGGCCGGACCTCTCAGATACGTTCCCTCCTTCGGCTGCCCGCTCCGCCATCCCGACTCGTCCTGCCCAGGCCAGCTCACTTTTTTCTCAGCGGTCGAAGCGACGCTGCCTCTGACCTACGCATGTTCTCCTTGTTCTGCCACGAACTAAAATCTACGAACAATTTTTTTTTCCATTTCACCTGGTAATGCCCACTGAACTATAGAGCTTTTTTTCAGAAGCGACCTGGCCACACAATGATAGCTCGACGAAGTGGCTCATCACGTGGAAATTTATAGCAGCCAAATACCCTAAACTGGTGTTTCGAAATGCAGAGGGAAAAAAAACCAGAGGACCCGGTTTAATCTCAATGCTTCTTTGTGCACTCTTCAGCTTTTGTTCCATTGAATCGGTCAGTGTCCAACGTGCCAATCCACATGTCAGAGCATGTCACATCGCTAGCCATCGAACAAAGACGGTCACCGCATCGCGCACTTTCAGATGCACTTCTGGGGCG